CTATAAATCACAATGATTCACACACTTTAGTTACAGTGCCTACTGTTCGCTTGACTCAATTATCTATCACTTCAATATCTATCTATATCCCTTCAATCAGTCCTCCAGCAGGCTTTAACTGCCTGGCTTATATACTAAAAAAGGGGGCCTGGCAAACACTTGGACATTCGCAAGGTTCCTTGATAAGTCATGATCCTTCTAGAAACTCCAGGGCGCATGCTCCCAACATTGGGTGACTTCCGCTGTCGTAACAGTATTCTTATGTATTTCTTATGAAAATACATTTACAAATCTGGTCATTTCCATGCCAAGAACACTGTAACAAGTTGACAACCCAGTGACAATGCATAACAATATAATTATAACTATGAACAGTAAAATGAAAGATAAATAATATATTTCTTGTTTTTACTTGCACAGTAGAAAGTGTAAACATATCATTTAGGCTACAACTTGTGTTTAATTAAAAGTTGTGCATACAACATTGCTGCAAGTTTTAATGTTGTGAAAACGTTTTCCTACTTTGTAGAAGCATAAACCATACAAAAAATACATCAAATAATATTGTTCAGTATTTCAAAACATGTAAACTGCTATTTGATTTTTTATAAATTGCTTGTTTCATGAATATATATATATTCACCATTAATGACTAACAGTGCCACAACATATAATGCATGACATTATGGATTTTACCAATGCACAACTATTCAGCAATGTTATAGAAACATCATGAGTTAGCTGGGTGAGCTACAGAAAGTGGAATATTGCTAAAGTATCATTTCTGTTAATAACACACAGTTTGTCCTGCAGGTTGTTTTAGCTGAACAACACACTACCATGTGTCTTGATATATATATATATATAACAAAGCTAGTATTCTTACATACCACTACTCTGGAATGTTTCAACCATACCCCCAAAATACTTTTATTCTCAATATTGTCAATTAACTCTAGACATATTTAATTAATCAAAGTCAAAGTTTTGTTCATTAAGTAAACTTGTTTAGACATTGAATTTCCATTGTAGGAGTTGGAAGCAGACAGAAAAAAATTAATGGAGAGTGTAACAGCTAATAAAAGGAAGATGAAGGAACTAGAAGATAATTTACTGTATAAATTGACCAGCACTAAAGTAAGTATGAACTAAAGTTTGTAAGGATTTTATGAATTTATTTTTCCTTGATCTAAAGAGCATTATAAAGTAATCACAAACCAACAGAAAATAGTAACCAAACATTTAAATTGTCGTATTTATTCTTAATATTTAGTTTTATTATTATTTTGACATTTTGTATGTTAAATAAATATGTTGTGTTGGTTCATCAACCTCATAATGTTACTGTATATAAAAAGTGGTGGCAATATTTTTTTGCTTTTAGGTATAGTTTTTGAATCTGTTATTTATAGTGCACATAATATTTTCTGTGTATAAAATAACCAGTTCATTATATGTCTTTTTCAAGGGTTCACTTGTAGATGATGAATCCTTGATTCATGTTTTAACCAACACTAAAGAAACTGCAGCTGAGGTGTCAGAGAAACTTAATATAGCTGCTGAAACAGAAATTATGATCAATAATGCAAGAGAAGAATTTAGGCCTGGTTTGTTAATTATCCTTTTTGTTAACTTTTTACTATATAAAATTTTAATTTAGATATTTTCTCATGATACATTTTATTAAATTAGAATTTTTTAATGTGTTCCATACTTATTTGTATGTTTAAAGCATTTAAATAGTTCATTTTTAAATGTGTACCAGTATCAACATATGAATTATATAAAGACATACTTTAGCTTACACAATTACACAAATTCATGAGTACAAACTATTAACTTTCATCTTTTTGTAGTTGCTGCAAGAGGAAGTATTCTGTACTTTCTCATCTGTGACATTAGCATGGTGAATGTGATGTATCAGACATCACTTGTACAGTTTCTGGAACTATTTGATATGGCAATAAGAAAGTTAGTATCAGTAGCATTAGCATCTTAAAGGAGTTTGTTTATATTTATTTATTTAGGTGATTTTCCAGTCTTTAATTAAGCATTTTAAAATTAAAGATGAATGCATTATTTTTTTATGGTCTTGCAAGGGTGTGCTCATTTTTGAAGTATGAAAAAAGCACAATTTCTTTTATAAACTGTAGTCACAATATAATTTAGGGAGTAAAAGGTTTTTCATGTCAGTTGTAAACTTCTAATTCATTGTTCTTTGTGCTATTTTATATTATTATTTTTCATATATTTACCTCATACATACAATTTTTATTTTCAAGATTAATTGTTAGATTACTTGCAAGTGTGTATGTATTGTACATGTATGTATAATTCTTTTAACAAAAATTAAGATAATTTAGTAAGCTTTACATAAATGAGAAAGCTAGTTTAAACAACAGAAAATACAAACTATGATGAAACTTACTTAGATAAAATTAGGTTAAAAGAAACACCATTATCTTAGCGCTGTTTGTTTTATGTTTATGTCATGTTATGATGTTAACTACAACTGACTTTTTGATATATTTTAACTATATATAAAACCTCCTATTGTCTTACAGTTCTGAAAAGTCTCCTGTAGCAGCCAAGAGAATAACAAATATCAATGAATATTTGACATATGAAGTATTTAAATATACTTGCAGGGGATTATATGAAAACCATAAATTTCTCTTTACCTTACTGTTAACACTAAAAATTGACATGCAGCAAGGTAAAATAAGCCATGAAGAATTTCAGATTCTTATTAAAGGTAACACTTTTTATTCCATAATTTGAGCTGTTTTTTTCCTAGGCATATGATTTTTACTGTTTATACAAATTATATTTTCTAAAAATACGTAAGTAATTAAACTGGCATATAAATTTTGTCAGTAAAACGTTATAACATTAGCTTCAGGTAAAATAAATTATTGACATATTTAATATTCTTTTATATAACTTATATATATATAGTCAGTAGCATTATTTAGCTGAAAAACATGATAATGAAAGTGGTGTCTAATGTCTATTCCAAATGACCCAGGGATCTTCTCCTTTGTATTATAATTTTCATCTCCCATCTGGTCATTCTATATGTGCTAGTAAGCATCAAGTCTTTTATTTATATTTTTGGCCCGGCATGACCAGATGGTTAGGGTGCTCGACTCGCAATCTGCAGGTCGCGGGTTAGAATCCCACCAATATGCTCATCCTTTTAACTCTGGGGGCATTATAATGTGATGGTTAATCCCACTATTCAAGAGTTTGCAGTGGGGGTGATGATTAGCTGCTTTCCCTCTAGTCTTACACTTAGTGCAGATAACTCTAGTGTAGCTTTGTGCAAAATTCATAACTTAACATTTTTATTTTTTGGCAAAGTAATCAAAGTCTCCCTTCAGCAAATTGCTTTTCTGGTAGATTCATATCCTCAGCCAATTACCAAAATCTTGGTCAAATGCCTAACATTATCTGCCAAATAAAGTCTTATAACTATTATTTTAAAAGCCATTCCAGAAGTCAGGGTGAAGAATGTAGCCAAGGGAATGAAAAACAACTCCAATATTCTAAAAAGCATAATAGGTCCACTAACTTCTGATTTTTCATATATTTGAAAAGGCTTACTCAGACACTTAAAACACAACAACATATTGTGAGGTAAGCTAAGCTTCTCTTTGTATTTTCTCTCTTAAGCTTTCAACATTTTTGTTTTACAAGTTTTATTTGGGCTAAAGTAAATAAATAAGTGTTTGTGTAGACGAAAAAGTCCACATTTGTTTTGGAAAAACAAATCACTTTCTGTAATGCTGGCTATATGCTCCTAGTTAGGACATAGTTGAAATCTTAACTTTAACTGATATTATTAATGGTACCTTTAATCTTTTTTGTCAGTATTCAACCTCACTAGCATATATAGATCAATGTTATATATATATAAAAAATGTATGATATTTTTTAAGTATTCATTGAAGATGTTTCTTTTTTCAATATTTTCCTGACCACTTCACTTTCCTTAATATGGTGAATATCTTTCTATATGGAGCTGAAGGTTTTGGATTACAGTTTATGCATGTTCTCTCTACATAATATATTAGTCCAGTTTACTATGTTCGGGATTAGGGTTTTTGTTGGATTTTCTTTGAGATATGTAAAACTATACATTTGTAGAAAGCTTATTGCATGGGGAAACTAAAAATCATTGTTTGCATTTTTTCATGTTCATGGTATGAAAGCTGTCTTGGATTTCAAAATGGTTGTCTTATTGTGTTTTTCTAGGCCTATCTACTCAAATGTCAGCTTTTTGAGCACAACAGGTGATGTTTTAATGGTCTAAGATATATGGTTTATGATAAAACAAATCTAAATACATTTATTTTTGGCCACCAGAGATAGTTAGAAGAAAAAGGCGACATGGCAGCCATCTTGAATGTGAAAATTATAACTATTTACACTTAACTTCTCATCACATACAAGTTGAGTTATATATTATTGTTACACCTCTGTTCGTTAGTTGATTTTCCGTAACTTTGTTCCAATGAAACTTTAGCGACACAAGTCCTTTCTTAAATAAAACTGGTTTATTCTTTCCGAATACAACTTTACGATACACTTAATTTCAACAGTCAGTCTATAACAACACTATAATTCACGTCTCACCAGGCCAACAATATTTTGTCCACATACATTCAATTACTCATTACACTGTTGTTCCGTCACTTTGTGACCATCTTATATACACCTGGAAAAAAGTTAAGCACCCCCAAATATTTTTCAGGATTGCTTATTGAAAATAAGGTTTAATTTTCATGATGTTGAGCAATATTCATAATTTCAAACATAATTAAAAGGATGTGAGCGTTCAGGTGTGACATTTAAATCAGGCGCGTTTTTTTTCCCTACCATGCAACTTAGTCTCCCTTTCCTTCTACGT